TCGGACTGATGTCAAAGCGGATCGAAGGCGCGAGCGCGTGATCGAGTGCGGCGTGCCCCGCCCGCCCGCCCCGCCCGCCCCGCCCCCCCCGCCCCGCCCCGCCCCACCCCGCCCCGCCCCGCCACGACTAGGCATGAGGTTGGCACACATTCGCCGCCTATGGCAGAGCGACTTGTTTCCCTAAAACAAACCGGCGACGGCAGTGCTGCAAGAAGGGTTTTGTCCCACGAGTGCGAGAGAGAGAGAGAGAGAGAGAGAGAGACCGTGTGAGGACGGCGGCACGGCGGCTGCCTGGTCGGGGGCGTGCCCATCACGACGCTTCGCATTTTGTGTCTCCCGCGATTACCGCCAGAGAGCGCGCCGATTTCGAACCGTCACGTCATCGCTCTGTCTCTCTCGCACTCACGGAGCGTGCCCCAGGGCCCGCAGGGGTGGGAGAGAGACAGAGCGACGCTCGGCGACGCTCGGCGGGCAGGCAGGGCCGCCCGGCCCGGCCCGCGGTCCTCACGATTTCCATTCTCACAGCATTCCGCAGGGCTGTTGCCCCCCGGGCTCGGCTTGGCGCGAGGCTAGACGCGGTACGCCTAGTCCGGCTGCTGCCGCGGGTCGCACAGCCGCCGTGTTTCGTCTGGGGGACGTGTGGTTTCGCAACTCACTCTGCCAAACGCCGCAAAAAAAAAGTTACCTTCAGCAATTTTTTCAAAATGGCGGTCGAAAGCAAACAGTGCTTGGTGCACTACTCGTTCCGGAAGTGCGAATATACGTGTCGTGCGCGCGCAGTCGGCGTGCCCCACACTGTAATCTGCATGCCAACACAATGAGGGATTGTCCGCGGGGAGGCACACTGCAGAGCACTGGGGCACGGCCGGCCCGGCGACGCAGAAGCCAGCAAGTGCCGCGCTAAGCCGCACCGGTTACGGTGTGCCAGCTCGCACGACCGGCTGTTGTTGCTGTTGTGTTGTCTCACTCGCACTCGTGGGGCGTAACGCAAGGGTGCGAGAGAGACGTAGCGACGAGGCGGGACTCTGCGGAATCTCTCGGCTGCCGACCGCGAATAACGCACTTCGCGCATCGTGATGCTATCATATCAATGAGGAACACTCACTCCGACACACGCACACACGCACGCACACACACACACACACACACACACACACACACACACACCACACGAGCGCAGAGTGGTACTTTCTCGACCCGGAGACACCACACAACACAATGGAGCGTCCGCGAAACTGAGTTGAAATGCTGAGAACGATCATCGCGATGCGAGGATGAAGATTACCCGGCGCGTGAATGGCGAATCAGACACGGCGGGGTGAAACTCGCGAGCAAAAATAAAAACAACAAAAATAAGAGGAAAAGTAAAAACGAAAAAAACAACAACAAGACTAGGCGTTACGCGTCCCGTGGTGGGCGGCGGTCGGCACGCGAGGTGTGTGCCGGTCTCGCCTCCGTCTCGCCAAAAGGCACCGCGCCGCCCCCTGTCTCTCTCGCACTCTCGGGGGCGTTCCACGGCGGCGCGAGAGAGACAGAGCACTGGGTCGCGAACCGGTACGGGACGGGGCCGACACCAGGCGGTGGCAGGGCGGTATACGGGGCGCGCGCTCATCCATCAGGGGCCCAGGACCCCTATCTGGAGATCACCTCTCCGCAGACCGCCTCCCAGCTCGGCGCTCTGTCTCTCTCGCACGCCTCGCACGCCCTGGCGTGCGAGAGAGAGACGGGGCGTAGTTGGAAAGCAGCCTGGTGGGCCGGCCGGCCGGGCCGTCCGCAAAAACAGGGAGGCGGCGAATACAGGACACTGTAACGACGTCACGCCGGCGCCCAACAACAACAACAACAAGGCGGGCGAATCCTCGAATCGCCATTACGACAGCGAGTGCGCGAGCAAGGCGGCGCGGCGGAGACTTGCACGGGCGGTGGGACAAGAGCGACACGGCCCGGGCGGCGCACAGTGGGCCAGAAGACCGGTGGAGGCGGACAAAAATCCAGTCGCGTTTTGAGCTCCAGAGTCGCTAAATGGGACTCGAACCGAACGTGTGGAGAGCAATCCATTGGTGGGGTCACGCGTTCGGTTCGAGGCCTGTTTAGCGACTCTGGAGCTCAAAACGCGTCTAGGGTTTTGGCCGCCTCCACCGGTCTTCCGGCCCACTGTGCGGCGGCCGGGCGGCGCGCTGCGAGTTGCGGTAGCGGCGGTAGCGGCCGCCAGCCTACATCCACAGCACTAATCATCTGTCCGTCCGTCTGTCCGTCCGTGCTCCCTTTCCTGCGCAGGACGCAAAAGGGCGTCCCGTCCGGCCTGCAGTGGACTGTGCAGCGCCTGCAGCGGTCTGTGCAGCGCGCGCCTTCCTGGGTTTTGTACGTCTCGCGGACACCTTCCACCGCCTTCCACCGTCACGCGCCCGTTGCGTCACCGCCGCCCAGAAGTGGAGCGAAGCGACGTCCAGGCGCTTCATTAGGGGCGCAGTCCCCGTCGATTCGTTGATACGCAGTCCCCCGGGGCTCGTTCCTCTTCGCGCGGGACGACAGTAGTTCCTCTCTCTCTCTCTCTCTCTCTCTCTCTCTCTCTCTCTCTCTCTCTCTCTCTCTCTCTCTCTCTCTCTCTCTCTCTCTCTCCGAAGTTCGGCGCTGTCCTATTGAATGGGCCCGCCGGCTCGGAGTTCCCAGCACCGTCATCACGCCTAGCTCGTCCCTACGCGCCGCAATTTCGGCGGGGCTCGTCAGAGCACCGTACTTTTCGCGAGGGCGCGCGGTGTTTAATCGAGCGGGCCCAACGGGGCCTCGTCTTCGTCCGCGCAAAAGAGGGAGAGAGAGAGAGAGAGAGAGAGGAGAGAGAGAGAGAGAGAGAGAGGAGAGAGAGAGAGAGAGAGAGAGAGAGAGAGAGAGAGAGAAGCGCGAGGGAGGCCCAGGCGATTCCGAACTGCGTTCACTGTCTCTCTCGCACCCCTGCGGTACGCCCCGTGAGAGCGAGAGAGACAGAGAGGCCTATTCGGGCATTCAAATGTCTAGCCCGATTGCGTCGGATCACGAACAGCGATCCACGCGGCGCGGTACACTGTGATGGACTCCAAGGCTGTCCGAATCCGACGAGGCCCTGGCTGGCCGAACCCGTTGGGATGAATCCTCGGGGGGAGTTTGTCGCTACGACCGGCAACACCGGAAGCAACGCGCATGTTTAGCGTCCCTGCGGCCCAATTCGAGTGTGCCGCCAGCGATGCCTCAACCTGCTGACCCATCGTGAACCAGTTAGGCAGTGCTGCGCCGCGGCGCCGCTTCGTGTGTTGTTTTTGGTCCGCTGCCACACCACAGATGAGTCTATTTGCGGTTCAGACGGCGGCGGCGTGGCGGGGCGTGGCGAGGCGGGGCGTGGCGCAGCGAGGTCACGGAGCACCTGAGTCAAGGTTGGAGAGGAAGGGCTCTCCAAGGATGCGCCCTCTTCCTTCTGGAAGTGCACCACATAGACCAAAAAAGGCTGGCTGCCCTTGAACCGCGGCGAGGGAAGCCCCAAACCAAGCGGGCACGGGTGGCTAGCGTGTCGGCGAGCCCTTCCGAACCACCACACTGCATGCCAGGTGTTAATGAACCGGAATCCATCCACTCGTTGCGCAGGCCGAAACTCAAGCCGCGTGGACCAAGGCGTAGACGCCCTGGCGGAGCGCGAGTGTTCGTCGGTCCGGCTCTCTCGCACCCCTTCGGGACGGCCCGTGAGTGCGAGAGAGACAGGGCGACCCAGTTCAGCCCGCACAGCCGGGGCGGGACGGCCCACTGTAATCAGCGCCACAATGCTACGCGGCCAAGTTCGCGGGCCGCGGGCAGAGCATTAGCGCGCAGAAATCCCACAGACTAATTCAGCACACTCTTTTTTGCCGCTAGCGCCGCCCTTGCCTATTCTCCCTCCGAAAGCCGAGCGGCCGCGGCATTATTATTTGGCTTGACGCGGCACTCCAAGGGCCAGAGGCTGCCAGAGGCCCGGCGCCTCATTCGGGTCAAAAATCGGGCATGGCTCCGTCTCCCTCGCACCCTTATGCGACGCGCCGTGAGTGCGAGAGAGACAGAGGGAGGACGCGGCCGGCGTCGTCGCCATTGTTGTATTCATCAAGCCGTCCCCTCGGCCGGATCGTCCGAACTCATTTTTCCCTTTCAAGCGAAATCACCATGATGGACGCTCCAGAGACTTCCCAGCGGCCGAGTGCGCGGCAGGTTCCATGAGAGAGAGAGAGAGAGAGGAGAGAGAGAGAGAGAGAGAGAGAGAGAGAGAGAGAGAGAGAGAGAGAGAGAGCGTCCGCTGAGTGCCGCGCCGTACTCGGTCCGCGGTACCCGACATCCGTCCGCCCGCAGTCCGATTCACAACAGTGGCCCCGTCTCTCTCGCACCCCTGCGGGGCGGGCCGTGAGTGCGAGAGAGACGCCGCGACGACGGGCCGAATCGGCACCGGCACCCCTTCCCTCTCGGCCTATGCAAACAGCAGTGCTAATGGCGTCTGGCCGGCGGGGCGCACGCACGCGCGGCCGAGTGATTTCGGGGCGGAAGGGGGCGGGTAAGGGGGGGGGGGGAAGGACCAGTACAGGACGTTGTTACACCTGGTTGCCCCCGGGACGGACGGTGCGTCACTCGCCGTCCAAATGACTCGACACCCCGGGCCCGCCCACCCGCAGCCTGGCCGGCCTGCCTGGCCCCCGAGTTCTCGTACTCCAACGGCAAAAAAAAAATCCCCTAAAAACGAGGGGACGGACAACCACTCTAGAAATCCTGTGTCCCTAGAGCCCAAGAAATCTCTGGAAAATCCAAAATATTCCTCCCAAAAGGCAGAAAAACAGGGAAATTTTAGGCTTAAAAATGTACGAAATCCGACGAAATCTCTTGTTCTAAGAAGTCTTGTGTCCCCAAACATTGTTCGCGTTTAACCCCTCGCCTAAAAATCCTTTTCTTAAACGCCCTGAAAAGAAATACTAAACAAGATACCCCCCGAAAAGCGCGAAAAAAGACAGTGGACTCACCGGTAGCTTGGTGGCGAGCGTCTCCAGGTGGCACTGCCACTCCAGCGAGCGCAGGAAGAGGTGGTGCCAGCGGCGCTCCAGGCGGCGGGCGACGCGTACCAGGTCCTGCTGACGCGGCCGCGGCTCGGCGTCCTCGGCGTCCTGGTGGACCTGCTTGTGCTGCAGCTGCTGCAGGTGCGCCACGCGCTCGCACAGCTTCACCACGGAGGAGACGATCTTGCCGTGCGACTCGACGTCTCGCTGCAGCACCTGCGGAGGGAGAGGAAAAATGAGGTGAAGACAGAGGCAAATCGGAGCGCGGCCCCGCGATCGCTTCGAGAGGCAGCCTCGCCGCTGCGCGCTGGGCCGTGGCCGAGGCCGTGGCACCGTGGCGGCGCGGGACGCACAAAGGGGCGAAAACTAGATCGGGATCTCGGAATCGGCCGGCGACACAGTCAGTGACTCAGGCGACCAATGGCGAGGCAGAGCGGTACTGCAGTGAAAGTGAAGGACCCTGTCGTCCACCTGGAGGCCCGCCTGGAGTCTCGCCTGGAGGGCGGACAAAAGGAGCGTCCTTGGCGTCCTGATGACACATTGTGTGGCCCGTGGCACGTGCGGCGCACCGAGCGCAGTCAACGCACCGAGTGGAGGTGGAGGCGGATACTTTGAGTCTCAGAACATTATTCCGACTTCCCTGAGCCTTCCCTCGAGCGTCGACACACGGCGCAGACGGCCTCCCGAAGCACCGCGTCGTTCTGGAGCGGTAAGGGCGCGTGCCTGCGCGTCGAGCCCGAAGGCTGGCGAGCCCCAGGCGTCGCGGCGCACGCGCCAAAGTGCACGCCAGAGTGCGCGGGGTTAAACGCGGTACCGTTCGCGAGGCTGCGCCGCCGCTCTCCCTCGCACTCGCGGGGATCCCCGTCGAGGTGCGAGAGGGACAAGGCGCGACCGCTCGTCGGGATCGCTCGGCTGCCAATGATAGGCAGAGCGCAAAACCACTTCACCTGCTTCGCCTCCAAGGGCTTGCGTAAGGGCGAAGGCAACGAAGGCAGTCCGCGGTGGCGGCCGCCAACAATAGAAGGGCACGGTGGCTCTGGAAACTGTCGAACTGCTCCTTTGACCCACTTCGCGACCTTTTTTTGCTGCCTCTCCAAGTGCCGCGCAGACACGACGACCCCAGCAGACATTAACCCACGCCACGCCGAGACACATGACAGCCGTGGCGTGGTACGGCATTCTGCCTCGCAGTGTGCACACTGATTCCGAGTCGTTGACGTCGGTCTGTCTCTCTCGCGCGTACGCGGGGCGCTCATGATAGCGAGAGAGACAGAGCGACGAAAACGACTCCTGCCTAGTGTGCCCGCCGCGGACCGTTGTCTTGAACTTCCATCGGCCTGCCGCTCGACCTGCCGCGCCTCGGGTGGCTCTGCATACGGCACGGGTCAGGGCGGCAGGGCGGGGCGCAGAGACATCCCGTCCCGTCTCGCCGCGTCTCGCCAGTCGGCCTGCCAGGATGACAATTAGCTAAGCCCGTCCGCCGTTACCGCCCCGGGCGGGATATTGTTTCACCAAGATCCGATCTCAGCGCGGCAGGGGGAAAGAAAACTGCTAATGAAATTACGAGATCGCATGAGAAACAGCGTATACCGCAAGTCAGTCAGTGGCACGCACCGCATATTTAACAATAACGCACGACGAAAACAGTTTCAACAAAAATTGCGGTCGCGGTGCGCATTGCAGTGCGGTAATTGCATGAGGGTGCGTTCGAGGCGCTCCCTTCGAACACGTGTCGGCCGGGAACAATTAGCAGTGCGCGCGCCGCCGTGTAACCCCTTCGTGTTTTTGTCTTTTTTTTTCGCGGCGCTCTTTGAAGTGGCTTGGGGTGGGTGGGCTGATTGGCAGGTAGTACACTGGGGAAAGGGAAGGAAGTTATCGACATGGGGGGGGGGGGGGCACTGGGGTGGGCGACGGCGGGGGAGTCGATGCCGGTGACCGATAACGCTTGATAGTGAAAAAGGGAGGGGGAAGGTGTACGCCCACGGCAGGTGCCGCAGAAGGGTTGCCTGCAATAAAAGGAGAGTGAGAGGGGGTGGAGAGAGAGAGAGGAGGGGGTGTGGACGGCATGCATGGGGTGCTGCTGCCCGTGATGACCATACGGCACGGCTATTTGTCGCCAAATGACACCAAGATGGATGGGGCCTGTGATCGAACACGGCCAGGGATCTCACGCAGAAGGGGGTTCTGTCCCCACCACACTGCGTGGTTGTAGTGCGTCATGGTCTACGAGTCCAACCCCTGGCCCCGCCGGCAGCACACGCACGCATTACTCACGTGTCAGCGGATTAATTATTTTGCGTTAAAAGTGGTGTTTTGTAATTAAACGCAGGATATTTCTATCCGCGGCAAACATTGTGTTTTGTCACCGATTTGACCAACTTTGCGGCAACACTGCTCCCGCACTAAGCTGTTTAGTCGCACACCTTGGCAAAGGAATGCAAGAGAAAGGTCCAAAGAGTATACTACCCCGTCGAGGGAGTTCGGTCAGCCCACTTGTATTGGACACAGTGGCCGTCTAAAGTCAGTCCAGATCACAATTTCCAGACATTTTGAGAATTTTTAATTCGTCAACGGCTGTTACTTCCGCGCCAGGTTCTGTTTTCTTCTGCAGCAGGCATAGCTCCTGGCAGTGTAGCTCCCCGTAACGCGACGCCGCCGCCGCGGCCCGCCAGGCCCGCCCCACTGCACATATCTCACAACTCGGCACCCACTCACCTGCCGTTTTATGTCGCAGTAAAAAGATTCATAGCCGCGCCACGAATATTTATTATTTGATTCCCAATAAGGTCCGCGCGACGACGGCGGGGGAACGCTCCCGGAAGCGGCGATTACTGTTCCCGAACGAGCTTTCGGCTGTCGTGCAGGCCGTCAGGGTGTTCGGCTTCCGCGGCCTGGACCAAATCTCCAAAAAAAATTACAATCGGCCGGTACTTTTTCGTCTTTTCCAGGGCCAACGACCGAAGATCCGCGTCTAGCGTGGCAGGGCCGGGCCGGCAGCCGAAGCGTTCCCAAAGCCACTAGCCAAAACTCCCGCGCCGCTCCAAATTGCCGGCATGAAAACACGAAGGGGAAAGTAGTGGAACAACGGCAGATGTTATGAGACGGCGCGCCGCTTGCCAAGCGCTACCGCCTTGTTTGTTCGAGTGTAAATTCAACGCCATGCCGGTCACGTCCCGCGAATTTCCAGCGAGAAATAACACTCCTCTTGCAAGATATATAGGCCAGGCCGCGGCAGGGCGGAGTCGCTTCTCCGGCCGTACAAAGAAGCACCAGCCGGCTCGGCTCGGCACGGCCCGGCCGCGCTCCGCTCGCACTACTGTGTATGACTCAACTCGCCAATGATTAGCGAACATATGAAATGGCATAAGGGCTGCCCAGGGCTGCCGAGGGCTCGGCGATCTGATGGCCTCGCGGAGCACTGCGAAGTTGCTGAGTAGCCGAGTGCAATCTCTGCGCGATCTCTGAGTGGTCGTACGGGACGGCTGGGGGGAACGCCCACCGTCAGCTAGCTCTGCCTCTCTCGCACCCAGACGGGGCGCGCCGTGAGTGCGAGAGAGATAGGGCGACGAAAACGATTCAGTCCGCAGCGCTAGCAGCGCTTGCAGGGTGGCCGAGTGCGCAACAACACCTCCAGCATCTCTGTTTTGTAAACGCCAGGCGAACGCCGCCAACGCCGCCATCAGTTTCACGCGTTATTCACAGGCAGAACGCGATAGTGATAAAGGGCTTTTGGTCGATGAAGTGTCGGCAACTGCGAGAACACTGAAATTCGAAGGCAAAGACATTAAAAACCTGACAGTCCCAATCAAAAATTTGAGTAGATGCTTGTTAAATTGTTGTTGTTCGAAATAAAGAATTCAGTCGATTTTTATCACAGTTCTCACCGAGGTGCAGACTGTTAATTTTTCTCTTCGAATTAAATCACGCTAATTTGCTGGGGTCCGGCCTAAACGTGCCGCAATTGGCGTCGGCTTATGCACCGGTTAACAAAACGGACGCCGATCGGAAGTCTCGATTAGCGGTAATGGGCGCGCGTGCGTGAGAATATCGCGCACGCCACTGCAAAAAGGTCTTCATCCACTTCCGGCCGAGCAAAGGGCCTGAGAAGGAGGCTGCCGCAGCACTGCAAAAGCGGCAAAAGGGCAAAGCGAAAAACGCGACGCCGTTAATTCCACTCGGAAAATGCACAAACGAGGCCGCGGTTCGTTTTCGCACCTCGTAAATAACAGGCATCCGACAATCGGGGCCGCGGATTCGTAATTTGCAATCCTTTTCGGGGACATCGCGGCCGCCGTAAGCAAGACAGAGTGCGAGGAAAATAATAAAGGAAAAGTATCCCGGTAACGGTGCGAGGAGGGAAACGCCCCTGCAAGGAGAGACAGCGCGGTATTGAAAGACATAAAAAACGAAAATAATCTGACTGCTTGATCTACGCCCCGGCGTATGATTCACCCGAACAATAGTTGCTTTTCCTTTGACCAAAATAGTCACGGTTCCTTACTCGCTTAATGCTCCGGAGTGGGCGTCGGCCGGGACCCCACAGGTACTCCTCGTACGTGTGCTGGTCCGAGCGAGAAAAACGCTTCGTCTCTCCACGCACTGAAGAGCATCAACCCGGACGGCCGGACCGTCCAGCCCTGCCAGGCGTCTAAACAAATAGGCCGATATGCATAATTGGCTGTTCGGCCAAACGGATTGGGTCATAAACAATGTCACTGAGAGATACGAGCTGTTCGCACCGCAGATCATATGCCCAGGACTCTCTCCTCCTACACTGGGCGTCACTCTTCCACGCGGTCCCCATTCTTATCTCGGGCAGCCTTTTTTCCCACTCCCCGTCCTTCCCAGATGGCGTTACAAACGGGCCGCGGACTGGTCCGCCCGATGAATGGGTGGATTTAGGCGGACAGGTGAGTGGCCATCGGGCATAAAGCGCCGGGCACGGGGCTTGTTACACTGTGAGGGACGAGGCATCACCCCATTAGTATGGTAATTCCATCCTATACACACACACACACACACACACACACACACACACACACACACACACACACACACACACACCTACACACGGTCACACACACTGAATAAACATGGGCCCTGCTGCGAACCAGGTCGCTCCTGTTGAGAGCACGCGCCCGCTGAATGCTTTGCAGGAAACGGGCGCGAGTGTCGCGCGATGGCACAAAACGGTTTCGCTTTCGCAACGCGTCCTT